CACACATTTTAAGTTGACAAAAATTTTTCATTGTAATTAAAAAAATTTTTTTTTAATCATGTTATTTATTTTTGAGAGAGGCAAACATGAATGGGGAGGAGGTCCAGAGGGAGGCACTGCAGAATCTGAAGCGGGCTCCCAGGCTCCAGCTGTCGGCACAGAGCCCAAGCGAGGCTTGAACTCATGGACCCGTGAGATCTATGACCTGAGCGGTCGACCAACCCGACTGAGCCACCCCAGGCGCCCCATTGTAATTTAAATGATTTTGCAGAACATAATTTCCAGCCTTTACATAGATCACTCTTTTAAATATACCCAATGGAATCGAAACCCTACATGTTGACTATATATCTTACCATTAATCCACTTAAAAAAACACATGACAGATCTAAGTCAGAAATTATATTTCTATTAGACTTCCCCAAATTTATCTAATGTTTTTGTGCCTGAAGAGTTTCTTTTATTTTTGATATTTAATTTTGTTATGTTGTTTGTTGCAGAGGACAGAATCGGGATAATGGTTTCACTGATTGAGGAGGACACGGGATCAGAAAGCGGGTCGAACGGCTTAGGCTGTCAGCACTGGAAGCGGGACCAGGAAGCGAACCTCGGGCCTGTGTGAGATCAGACCTGAGCCGGTCAGATCTCATCGGCCGACTCCAGTCATCATCTAAGCCCTCTGAGTCTTTTATGATCACATGCTCTGCAGAAAATCTGTAACTGACCGGCTAATTTTATTCAGGTTTTAAATTTTGAGAGAGAGAGTGAGTCCCAAGCAGCCTCTGTGCTGCCAATGCAAACCCGACATGGGTATCCCATGAACTGTGAGATCATGACCTGAGCAGCTCAGTGAGACACTTAAGTGACCAGGCCACCAGTGCCCCTGAAAGTTAATTTTTATTTTATTTATTTATTTATTTTTTTCACGTTTATTTATTTTGGGACAGAGAGGCCAGAGCAGGCAGGGAGGGCAGAGAGGGGAGACACAGAATGGGAAGCAAGCTCCAGGCTCTGAACATCAGCCCAGAATGCGCGCCGAGTATGGGGCACCGAACTCCGCACGGACCGATGAATCGTGACCTGAGCTGGAAGCGGGCAGCTTAAGCGTCGCCACGCAAGAACCCCTGAAGGATAATTTTAAATATTTCTTGTGTTCATAAAGGCCTGAAATTAAAGCGTTTTCTCTTCTGGATAAGAGTTTTCTAATAATTGTTAAGTAATATAAATGTATAATTAGTATTACTAAAGATTTCCTTTTTTTTTGTAGCTTTGGTTTTTTTTAAATTCTAACTTTGTTAAAAAAATTTTTTTTAAGAGCCTGGGTGGCTTGGTGGGTTAGCGATCGACTTCAACGAGTCAGTGATCTCCGCGGTCCTAGTTCAACCCGGCCACAGGGCTCTTAGGACAGCTCAGAGCCTAGGACCTCTTGATCTGTGATGCTCCCTCTCTCTCTGCCCCTCCCTGTTCATGCTCATCTTGTCTCTGATAAATAAACGTTGAAAAAAATAAATAAATAAATAAAATAAAAATTAACTTTCAGGGCACCTGGGTGGCTCAGTCGATTAAGTGTCTCACTCGATTTCGGCTCAGGTCATGATCTCACAGTTCATGGGATTGAGCCTCATGTCGGGCTCTGCATTGGCAGCACAGAGGCTGCTTGGGACTCACTCTCTCTCTCAAAATAACTTTAAAAAAATTAAAATTAAGCTTCAAGTTACAGACTTTTTTTGGCAGAGACATGTGATCAATAAAAGACTTTCAGAGGGCGACTGGATGACTGAGTCGGTTGAGCATCTGACCTTGGCTCAGGTCATGATCTCACAGCTCGTGAGTTCGAGCCCCGTGTCCGGCTCTGTGCTGACAGCTTGGAGCCTGGAGCCTGCTTTGGATTCTGTGTCTCCCTCTCTCTCACTGTGAAACTATCTCGCATTCTGTCTCTCTCTCTCTCTCTCTCAAAAATAAACATTAAAAAATTAATAAAAAATAAAGAACTTTCAGGCACAAAAACATTAGGATAAATTCTGTAGGGGAAGTCTAATAGAAATATAATTTCTGACTATTAAGATCTTGTCATGTGTTTTTTAAGTGGATAATGGTAAGATATATAGTCACTGTAGGGTTTCGATTCCATTGGGTATATTTAAAAGAGTGATCTATAGAAAATGTGTTGGAAATTATGTTCTGTGCAACTATTTAAAATTACAATGGGGGCGCCTGGGTGGCTCAGTCGGTTAAGCGTCCGACTTCGGCTCAGGTCATGATCTCACGGTCCATGAGTTCAAGCCCCGCGTTGGGCTCTGTGCTGACAGCTCGGAGCCTGGAGCCTGCTTCAGATTCTGTGTCTCCCTCTCTCTCTGACCCTCCCCCATTCATGCTCTGTCTCTGTCTCAAAAATAAATAAAACATTAAAAAAAAATTTTTTTTTAATTACAATGAAAAATTTTTTGTCAACTTAAAAATGTGTGAGAGGTTCTATAGGTCTTTATGTTGGGGTCCATAAACAGGAACTATGTCGAGGTATGGCTTTAGGATCTGGAAGGAATCAGATTGATTAGTCAATGTTGATCAGTTTATGAATGAGGGCACGGAGGACCAAGGAAGGTTAGTTGATTTTCCCAAAGTCACACAGTTCAGAACCCAGGGGTACTTGCTTGCTCATTCTTTTCACTACTTCATGGGCCTCCATTGTGCTCTGAAAACCCACCACAGTTTTGTGGAATGAGGAAGGCAGACAAAAAAAGTATCTCAGAACAGTTACTGAATAAGAGGGATGTCCCTTGGTTAGGTTGCTCTCCTCCTTGTGGTTCTAGCCCCAGGGGTCAGGCTGGGAGGCCAGTTGTGGGGCTTAGGACCCAGGGTAACTGGTAGGTGGACACAACCTAAGGTTTTGATGGACTCCAAGCTGGGGATTTTTGTAGGGTCTCCACTCTCACCCCCATCACATGGTACTAAGCCTAATCTTTGGGGTTCTGAAAGTCCAACCGGGGCTGCCACCATCTCTCATACAGTACGCCTTTCATCAGACATTTCGATTTCATGTGTTGGCCATCATAATAAACACCAAGGAATGGGGGGTGCCTGGGTGGCTCAGTCCATCAAGTGCCAGACTCTTGGTTTTGGCTCAGGTCATCATCTCTCAGCTTCATGGGTCTGAGCCCTGCATCCAGCTCTGCACTGGCAGTGCAGAAACTGCATGGGATTCTCCCTCTCCTTCTCTCTGCCCCCCCCCCCACTCATGCTGTCTCTCTCTCTCTCAAAATAAATAAACTTCAAGATTCTCTCTCCCTCTGCCCCTCTCCCCCCTCTCACAGTCTCTGTAAAATTAAAAAAAAAAATCTGGGTCTGTTTCATCAGTGGGATCTAGCCCCTCTCCTGAATCAGGATGCATGAGATGTCTGTGCATGGCACAGTGTCCAACTCAGGCAGAGGAGGCACATCAGCAGGGGTATCCACTTAGGTGCACCGTGACCCGAGGGGCTTGACCCAGACCCAGCCCCTGTCTGGTGTGAGGAGCTCTGAGGGGCTAGTTTGGCCCTACATAAACCATGGTGGTTATGCAATGCACCAGACATCAGATCTAAGGTGAGACCATTCTTTGTGGGGGGTTTTTTGTTTGTTTTTTAGTTAAAAAAAAAAAAACAACTTTATCATTTTGAGAGAGAGAGAGATCATGCAAGCTAAGCCAGAGCTAGATGGAGGGCTTGATCCCACAACCCTGGGATCATGCCTGAACCACAATCAGGAGTCAGACGCTCAACTGACTGAGCCACTGGGGTGCCCCCAGACACAGATATTTTTATTTTTTTTTTAAATTTTTTTTTCAACGTTTATTTATTTTTGGGATAGAGAGAGACAGAGCATGAACGGGGGAGGGGCAGAGAGAGAGGGAGACACAGAATGGGAAGCTCCAGGCTCTGAGCCATCAGCCCAGAGCCTGACGCTGGCTCGAACTCACGGACCATGAGATCGTGACTCCGGCTGAAGTCGACGCGAATCCTCCATCAAGCCACCCAGGCGCCCCAGATTTTTAATGATTTCCAAAATTGAGTTGATCTGAATCTTCATGACCCCTGATTTCCCTGTGGAGCAAACAAAGTAAGTTTGGGGTGGGGTGGGGGTGACTGGCTGATCAAACAAAGACAGGCAGACCCAGGCAGACTGTGGACAAGGACAACACTGAACAGTAGACCTTACCCTCCAACAAGAACTAGAACAGGGTTGGAGCTGGGGACACAGACCTAGAGAGTCAAGGGGACACAGGGCTAACAGGAAAGGACACAGGCCACTGTCAGGACACACATCTAAGGCTAGGACCCTGCTGACGTGGCAGCCCTCCGCCCTGGCCCCTTGCTGCCCCCCGCCCCTCTCCCCCGCCTGCCAGCTGCCAACAGGGCTCTGCCCTGTGTCTGCCACACCTGTCACTGCCTGTCCTTGTCCAGGGGGGGCCCCATCAGCCCCTCCTCAGCTGCCCAGCAGAGCAAGCAGTTAGTGGGGAGGGGAGGGAACATGGAGCGGGGGCCGGTGGTGGGGGCAGGGCTGGGGGCCGGGGCCCGAATCCGGGCACTGCTGGGCTGCCTGGTCAAGGTGCTGCTCTGGGTGGCCTCTGCCTTGCTGTACTTTGGAAGTGAACAGGCTGCCCGGCTCCTGGGCAGCCCCTGCTTACGGCGCCTCTACCATGCCTGGTTGGCAGCAGTGGTCATCTTTGGGCCCCTTCTGCAGTTCCATGTCAACCCTCGGACTATCTTCGCCAGCCACGGCAACTTCTTCAACATGTGAGTCCACTTGAGGCTGTGGGCGCCGGCTCCCTGTGCTCTGGGATCCCAGCTCCCTCCTCCAGGCTTCTGTCCTCCTGCCAGTCTGGACACTAAAAATAGGCTAGGAGGTTGAGGAGAAATTGGGAGGAGGGGGAGGGGAACAGAGTTGTGGGGTACAGGGGAAATCAGGAGCAGGGCTGAAGAGGAAATATGGGTCCTAGAAGGCTGAATGGGCCTCTAAGGAGATGGCAAAGTTTAAGTGAATGGGGGTGGGTAGGGGGAGGAAATGGAACCAGAGATGATATGCAAGGACTGGGAACAGCAGTGATGGGAACACAGATGGGGTGGGAGATGGGGCTTGAGGGGTCCCAATAGCCTCCCTTCTCCTGTGCCCACAGAAAGTTTGTGAATTCGGCATGGGGCTGGACATGCACCTTCCTGGGGGGCTTCGTGTTGCTGGTGGTGTTCCTGGCTACCCGGCGCGTGGCGGTGACTGCCCGGCACCTGAGCCGGCTGGTGGTGGGGGCCGCAGTGTGGCGGGGGGCCGGCAGGGCCTTCCTGCTCATCGAGGACCTGACTGGTTCCTGCTTCGAGCCTCTGCCCCAGGGCCTGCTGCTGCACGAGCTTCCCGACCGCCGCAGCTGCCTGGCAGCCGGCCACCAGTGGCGGGGCTACACGGTCTCCTCCCACACCTTCCTGCTCACCTTCTGCTGTCTGCTCATGGCTGAGGAAGCCGCTGTGTTCGCCAAGTACCTGGCCCATGGGCTGCCAGCCGGGGCGCCCCTACGCCTAGTCTTCCTGCTCAACGTGCTGCTGCTGGGCCTCTGGAACTTCTTGCTGCTCTGTACCGTCATCTATTTCCACCAGTATACTCACAAGGTGGTGGGTGCTGCAGTGGGGACCTTTGCCTGGTACCTCACCTATGGCAGCTGGTATCATCAGCCCTGGTCTCCAGGGAGCCCGGGCCACGGGCTCTTCCCTCGGCCCCACTCCAGCCGCAAGCATAACTGAAAGAAATAAAGGCAAATCAGGCCTAGGTCTGGCTCTTCTCATCATTTGGTTGGGGGGGACTCAGAAACGGTGGGAAGGATAAGAAAAGAATCAGGCAGTCTCGCGTTCCTCAACCATTCCTTGCTGTTATGGACTTTGAATATCCTTCCTTATCTTATGCTTGATCTCCATCCCTCCTGCTGTCCTTTTAGTCTCCCAGTCCTTGCAGACTTCAAGCTACATGGAGGGTTTTGCTGTCAAGGAATGGTGATGTTAGAGCAGGTAAAAGTGCCCTTAGGTATGGGCAGCACTCCTGCTGGGCAGGTGCTTCATCTCTAGCCTGGCTGATTTGTTTTTCCTGCCTCCTGCACTGAATCCCACCCTCCGCCTTCCTCAGGGGCCTGTCTATCTGGGCACATTTATTTAACAGGTATTTATTGACCCAAGCAGAGTTCCTTGCCTTATGAATGAGACAAGGTTTCTGGAGGACCTGGGTGGCTTGGTCAGTTAAGCATCCTACTTGACTTCAGCTCGGGTCATGATCTCACAGTTTGTGAGATGGAGCCCTGAGTCGGGCTCTGCACTGACAACACAGAGCCTGCTTGGGATTCTCTCTCTCTCCCTCTCTCTGCCCCTCCCCTGCTCACATTCTCTCTCTCTCAAAATAAATAGACATTTAAAAATAATAATTATAAATCAAAAGCAAAAAAAAAAAAAAAAAGACAAGGTTTCTGCTCTTTGGAGGCTTATGCGTTAATGGGGGAGGCAGATGATAAACTCACAAATAATAGCAAATGCTTCTATTGTGCTTACTATGTGCCAGGCACAGTTCTTAGTATTTCTAAGTTCTTCATATAAATTAAGACATTTAGCCCTCATAACAACACCAACACTATCAGGTAGGTTTGGTGGTATTCCTACTGTACAGTTGTGAAAACTGAGATATAGAGGTTAAGTAACTTGTTCACAGCTAGTAAATATCAAAGTCAGGATTATAAACCCACACGATGTGGGTCCATTGTCTGTGCTCTAAACTGAGGACCAGCAACTACAGCCCTCCTGTGGCCAGTTTTTGTATGGCCTGAGAGTTAAGAAAAGTTTTTACATTAAAAAAAATTTTTATTTAGTTTATTTTTGAGAGAGAGAGATTGAACACAAGCGAGGAAGGGGTGGAGATAGAGGAGACACAGAATCCAAAGCAGGCTCCAGGCTCTGAGCTGTCAGCACAGAGCCCGACGTGGGGCTCAAACCCACAAACCCTGAGATATGACCTGAGCTGAAGTCTGACGCTTAACCAGCTGAGCCACCCAGGCGCCCAGATTTTTAAGTTTTTAATCATTGAAAAAAAGAATATTCCATGATATGAGAAAATTACACAGAATTCAAAGTCCATTGTCCATAGATAGTTTTATTGGAACCTAGACATACTAATTCATTTAGGTATTCATTCATTCATACCTGCTGCAATGGCAGAGTTGAGTCGTTACTACAGACACCATTGACCCACAAAGCCTAAATTATTTACTATCTGGCTTTTTACAGAAAAAGTTTGCCAACTCCTGGTCTAAACCACACTATCCATGGAGCACCTGGGTGGCTGAGTCAGTTAAACATCCAACTTCGACTCAGGTCACAATCTCACCGTTGGTCGGTTAGAGTCCTGTGTCAGGCTCTGTGCTGACAACTCAGAGCCTGAGCCTGCTTCAGATTCTGTGCCTCCCTCTCTCTCTGCCCCTCCCCTGCTTGCTCTCTTTCTCTCTCTCTCTTTCAAAAATAAACATTAAAAAAAAAAAAATCTCTTAAACCACCACTATCCTCAAAAAAATAAATAAACTGGCTAATATCAGAGAGCTAAGTGCTATGAATGTACTAAAACAGGCTGGTTTGTAATAAAGACTTACTGGAGAGAGTTCCCTCTGGAGAGGTGACATTTGAACTGAGAACCTAAGGCAGGGAAAGGGTGTGTCAAGCAAAGGGATTATAGTAAGGGCAAAGGCCCTGAGGTAGGAATGAACACCAGACAGATTTAAGCAACAATGGAAGGCCCAGGTATTTGCAAGTGTAATGAAAGGGGAAAGCAGTGGAAAGTGAAGTTGAAAAACAGGTGACTGGCAGGCCAGGCAAGCCTTATGAGCCAGGAAAGCCCTTTAGATTTCATTCTAAGGTCAACAGGAAGCTGAGAAAGGGCTTTAAGCCAAGAGAGGGGTCTCATGCCACCGCTGTGCGGAGAGTATCGAGGGGTGTAGTCCACAACAACGGCCAGGAGAGAGTTGACCGGGGCCTGGGTTGGAGTGGTGACAGTGTCTTATGTCACCGCATGGGCCAGGAGATGCCCATGGAGCCAGGGCTATGTAGGGAGGCCAGAAAAGACGAAAGAGCGCCAGATAAGGCTTATCACGGTCCCAGCAGAGCAGGAGCAGAAGAGAACCAGCGGAACGCGGAGGCAGGGAGATGGGAGGCGGGCACTGGCCTTGGCCGGCCTATGGGCTCCGGGAGGCGGGGAGGCGGGCCCGCGGTACGTGGGGACGGGAGAAGTTGAAAAAAAGCGGGGGGCGGGGCGGTGACAGTAGGCTTCGAGTCCAAAGGCGGGAAGGTAGGCGGCGGGGTGGGAGTGGCTGAGCGTTGGGGGGCAGAGTTGCGAGGTGGAGGCGGACTGGCGCTGGTCGCCCCGCGGAGGTGGCGGTGGCAGTGCTCCTCTCGGCCTCCAGGGGGAGCCCCGCCGCGGCTGCAGCCCTCCCCCGCTCCGCCCTCTCCTCTCCCCGTCTGGCCCCGCCCCCTCCAGTACCTCCACTCCCCGATACCGAGGAAGGCAGTGGTGGGGGTGAGCGTTTGCTTTCGCTTTTCCTTCCCTGTGCGCACTCCGGTTCTCGTGCGGCGCTAGGCCCCCCGCCCCGGCAATGGCCACGCTCAGGGTCCAGCCTGAAGCCCAAGCCAAGGTGAGCGCTGCGGGTTTGAGGAAGGGCCCATTAGGGAGGCGTGGCTCTGAAAGGCTGCAGGCGTCCATGACCCACCCCCCAAACCCCGTCGCGAGTCCAGTCGAGGTCGAATGGAGCCCACGCGAGCCTCTGTGCCAGGAGCACCTGTGCCGGAGGGAGACGGGCGAGGTCCACCTGCCGGGATAAGCTAGGCGGCTGAGGTTCAGTGGGGTGCGGTGAAGTGGAGAGCTGGCGTGGAGGGGAAGTCCGCTGGCGCGGGCCTGGGGCCACATACAGACAGGATGCTGGAGCTGCCCTGCCACCTCATGACCTTTCCCACCGGAGGGCCCCGGGCCCACTCCACAGAGCATGCCGTCCCTGTGCCAGTCGCAGAGGCTCTTAGACCCCTCCTTGTACAGCCCAGGAGACCTGGGCTCTGAGTCTGAGGGATCTGTTCTCACTTGGACCACCTGCCATTCACGGCCAGGAATGTTCTCATCCCCCGCATCCAGCCTCAAGGGAATCCACTTCACCCTCCCCAACCCAACCCCCTTCCCCATGTCAGGCCCTATACAACCCTAAGGGAACGGTCCTCAAATGAACTGGCCGTAAAGCCAGGTGTGTGAAGGGCTGCCTGTGTCCCACAGGTGGATGTGTTCCGTGAAGACCTGTGTACCAAGGTAGGTAACCTGGCCCATCAGCACCCCACCCCTACCTAACTCCCACCACTCAGCCCTTCCTTGCTGGGCAGTGTCAACGCTGCTTCACTGCCAGAAGAACATTTTATTCTGACCTCCATCTTCCCCCACCCCCACTTCACACAGACAGAAAACCTGCTGGGGAGCTACTTCCCCAAGAAGATTTCTGAGTTGGATGCATTTTTAAAGGTACTGGGGGCAGCAGGAAGCTAGAGAGTAAGGATCTAGGGGAGAGTCTGGGGGGCCATCAGAGTGAGGTGAGAGGGATGCCCTTGCCTCCAGCCCTCCTCCCACCCTGCACCAGGAGCCAGCTCTCAATGAAGCCAACCTGAGCAATCTGAAGGCCCCATTGGACATCCCAGTGCCTGATCCAGTCAAGGAGAAAGAGAAAGAGGAGCGGAAGAAGCAGCAGGAGGCAAGCCAGGAAGAGCTGGGTGGAGGGACCCAACCATGGGGAAAATCAGCCTTAGGCCTGACTCCCAAGAGCCCCTATCTCCCTGCAGAAGGAAGACAAAAATGGAAAGAAGAAAGAGGAAGATGAAGACAAAGGTACCACTATGAAGGGACTTGAGTCTCACATCCCAGGAACTCCTCTGTAGGGATTCCTCTTTCCTGCTCCTCACACAGTTCCAGCCTGGTGACTGACCCATTGCCCACTGCGTAGGTCCTCCCTGTGGCCCAGTGAACTGCAATGAGAAGATCGTAGTCCTCCTTCAGCGTCTAAAGCCTGAGATCAAGGATGTCATTGAGCAGCTCAACCTGGTGAGCCCTCCCACTCCCACCCCCAGGCTTCAGATCTAACCCTTTGTCCTCTTTGGTCTGGGCCAGGTAGCACTTGGCACCTGCCACGTCTTAGCAGGAGAGGGCACAGCAAGTGAAGCCAGAATTTTAGGCCTTGGGGCTCAGGACAGACTTGGCATGCCTTCCCTCGCCATGGGCAGGGAAGCAAAGGACAGAGAGTTAGGTTGGGAGCTGATGTGGCTTTGATACCATTTCCTCCTTCCAGGTCACCACCTGGTTACAGCTTCAGATACCTCGAATTGAAGATGGGAACAATTTTGGAGTGGCTGTACAGGTGAGAGCACTACCCCACTCCTCTGCCCTCCTTACTGCTTCAGTCCGCACTGTTTTCCACTTTTCCCCTTGCATTCTTTCCCCAGGAGAAGGTGTTTGAGCTGATGACTGCCCTTCACACGAAGCTGGAAGGCTTCCACACGCAAATCTCCAAGTGAGTGACTGCCCACTTGCACCTGCATGCATACCCTGCCTTTTCCTTGGACAGAGGCTTGGGCTCCCTCTCTTCCTTCTGCTCCCAACCCTTCTGCTTCCTACAGGTATTTCTCTGAGCGGGGCGATGCTGTGACCAAAGCAGCCAAGCAGCCCCATGTGGTAGGTGAGGCCCAAGTCAGGGTGCATGGTGGGGGAAGGACACATCTGAAGTCAGACCTGATCCAAGTCTCCCACAGGGTGATTATCGACAGCTGGTGCATGAGCTGGATGAGGCGGAGTACCGGGACATCAGGTTGATGGTCATGGAGATCCGCAATGCTTATGTGAGGAAGCAGGGGCAGGGGTGGGCAGAGGCAGCTTTCCCAGGCCACCTACTCCCTGACCCTACAGGCTGGGGGTGAAGGGTGACAGAGCTTAGCCTCTCCACAAGACTAGAAATGGGGTATAGGAGCCACCAGGGGCCTGTGGCTACCCACACTCCTCTCTGGCCCTGTAGGCTGTGTTATATGACATCATCCTGAAGAACTTCGAGAAGCTCAAGAAGCCGAGGGGAGAAACAAAAGGAATGATTTATTGAGAGTCTCTTCTCATCCTGTAATGGGTCCAGCAGAGACCTTCCTATGTTTTACACAGGACTCCAGTCTTTCCCCACCTTCAGCCTGTTGAGGTTTCTCCCTCCCCTGCCTCCCAGGCCCAATAAATAGTCATACCATTGCCCTTCAGCCCAAGTATCTTTATTGGATCCTGACCCTTTGCCTCCCACCTCCCAGCCCTGACTCAGGTATTTCCATTGGTGGGACCAACCCATTGGGTGATTTGGGTGTTGAGCTGTTGGTTGGTCCAGTCCTGCCGGATGTCATCAAGGTGGCAGTCAAAGTCCACAAGGTGCTGGTGGGCCCGGCTCTCCAATAGTGCTCCCACCATCTGCCGTGACTCTTCCCAGTCCCTCCACATCACTCTGAAATAATAACCCCCAAACTCAGTAGGCAGTGGGGCCAGATACTTGGCAGAGGTTAGGGTCTAGAGAAGGACCCTTGGGGCAAGATCAAGGACAAAGGAGGCCCAGGAGCTGTGGGTTTCCAAGAAGAGGTGGTGGGAGTGGGGCACTCACAAGTTCTTGTCCTTGGGGACCCAGCGGAGACCATGGTTTTCCAGGACGATGACTGGGGGCACATGAGGCTGAGGCACCAGTTTCTGATTATCCAACTGTATGGACAAGGAATGGCTGGTGAGGGTTTCAAGGACCCCACTTCCTATTTTCTCACCAAGTCCCCACCCTGAAACCCAAGCCTCACCATAATAAGTACTGCATCAGGGAAGAATTCTGCAATCCGCCCAGCGATTTTCAAGGCCAAGGGCCCAGGGCTGTGTAGAGGGAAGATCAGAGGAGTGAGGAGGTGACTAGAGATAGACCCTGTCCATCTGAGCTGGGCCTCACAGGTCTCCTAGATGAAGACACAGTGGTGGGCTTTCCCTGTAACTGGTCTGAGGGGTCAGGCCTGCTTGAAGCTTCATACATGACTGCTTAATGCTTGGGTGCTGTGGAAAACAGGTGCTCAGACTGCTGGTCAAGGTGAAAATCAAAGGTGGTCTTTTGGTAGGGTAATTTCGCATAACCACCCAGATTTAAACAGTATACTATACATATGCTGACCCAGAAATTCCACTTAAGAGAATTTACTGTAATAATTGGACAGTGTGTATTAACAAAAAAATGGAAACAACCTCAATGTTTAAGGCATGAAATAAATCATGGTATATCCATCCATACTCCTACTATATAGCTGCCAGGCTAAGGTAAATCTTTAGAGATGGAAAGATGGCACATATTTACTAAGTGAGGAGGGAAAAGCAAATCACAAAACTGTATAATTTGATCCAGATAGGGGATTCATATGTAAGTATATAACTTTTTCTATATATAAGGAAATTTCTTCCCCCCCCCCCCC